CATCACACATTTTATTTTAACAAGTAAGTTTTTATAATTTTATTTTTAATTTTAGCCCTTATATTATGGCTAGCAATTTAGAATGTAATTGTGATATTGAAAATTTATTTCAAAAAGTTTTGGCTCGAGACCATATAATGAAAAAGAAAACATTATTAAAAGGGAAAGACCAATTTCTAAATTAAATATAAATATGTCAACAAAAAAATTTGTTTGACATTTTCACAATAAAATTTGTGAAGATATAAAATGGCTTTGTGGATGCATAAAAATGCAAAAATTGTTTTTTTGGCCTTGCCTACTATTATCAAATAAAATTAGTGTGTGGAATGAGATTGGCTTTGACGATTTAAATAATTTGAGTAAAGCTGGCAAAAGACACAAAAATCATAAATCTTGCATCAATTCTTTTGTAAAATTGAAGCAATTTGGAAATCAAAATAGAATAGAATTTAACATTAGTACACAATATAAAATAAATATTGAAAATTATAACAAGATAGTTCAGCTAATAGATATATTATATTTTAATTAGTAGATGTTATCGAAGCGAGAATTGGCATTTAGAAGGCGTAGAGAATCTATTAAATCTAATATAAGAGAGTTAATTATATTGAACTTGCTTATTTATTAAGTGCGTTAGATAATCTATTAATTAAAAATACATTTAGAGAAGTCTACAGTTTTTACTGGCTTATTGAACAAACGAATACGAATTGACCCTAGACCATCACTGACTGATTGCCCCTGGAAGTCGACTTCTTACAAAATCACAGCTTCCCTATCATCAAATGTCATTTACAGTACCTGCATTCATAAATTTAGATTACTTTTTTCTGTACTATATTAAAAACTAAAATTTATTTGTTTGTAAGCATAAAATAGATCCTTATTAACCATATATTATTAAAAATGCATTAATAAATAAAATACAGAACCGGGAATGGTAATTTATGGTTTAGCCTAGTGACAAGTAGATTTGGAGACAAGTAAATTCGACTTACGTCATTTTTCGACTTAAGTCTCATCTCCTGGAACCAATTACCAATGTAAGGCGAGGTATACCTGTACATCCTTTGTTTTGGAGGCAAGTTTTACCTACAATGGCAGGGAGTACCTATGACATCATCCATTTTAGAGTCTTAGCTGAATTAACAATGAGAGAAATAGAAGCTAGCTAATCAATAACACAAAACTGAATATACTTAATAAACAAGGCAAACTATACCATTTTTTAGCACAAAAATTAAGAGAAGCAAAGTTTTCATCTATATTAAATGGTCATCTTCAGGCTAAGTGACCACAGCTATTAAAACAAGAAGATTACAGTCCACATGTTAAGAGGGGTGATGAGGGAGGGAGGGGTAGAGGGTTTAAGACTACAGATCATAGATCAATTTCCATGCAGGGGGGAAAGAATCTACATCTCAAAAGTTTATAGCAGCATTTTTTCTTACAGCTTTGTAAATCTCTAACTGTTCTAAATATCTAAGTCATTCTTTGTTGATCATGATTACTTTTGAAAGCATGACTCTCTGCTTGCTTATGGGTAGCTCCCTCTTAGGCACCCTTTGTGAACTGGTCATTTGGTAGCTCGAAGCCTCCATTCTTCCTGCCTTTGACCACCACATTCTTCTAAATGCACATTACATTGGTAACATTCTTATCTTGTAGCAGAAAAAATCCTGTATTTAAGATTTCTTGTATGAAATCAACACCAACCCCCATGACCTCTGTCTCTGCCTGGAAGAGGACAGTGAACAAGATATTCACTTCCTGGACCCCCAATTTTCTTTATCCAATGGATGCACCTTAACTGTAGTACAGGAAGTATACATGCCATCCAATTTTTATACCTGCCCCTTTCCATTATTCATTTATCTTCAAGATCACACTGAACAGCACACTTTAAACACTGACATCACAAGTGTGAGCTAAGTGCCGTTCAGTGTAATGCCAGGAAATTTTAACTTTAAATTTTTAACTGTAAATGTATGTAATTTTTAGGCAAGATGTATATTGGTTAGTACCTCCTTACAAGATATCTTAAAAGAAAAGCTGACAGAAGACATATGCCCATATGTCTGAAATGCATATCAGCCCACAAGATATTCCTGAATAAAGAGTGATATCAAAGATGCCCAGTGTCTATCTGTGCACCAAGTTGTGACAGAAAAAACAAATAAAAATATTTGTTATTAACTGAAAATTTGTTCTAGCAGGTGGTGATTGTTCAATCAAGTGCATAACAACAGAAAGACACTGGTCTGTATGACCTGAAAAATAGTCTATGGTAGCAGGAGTCCCTTACAGCAAATGAATTTTTTTATAATTTTTCTGTATCTTTGACCAGACCAAAATCAGCTGCCTGTAATAATCCAAGGACTGTTATATTGGAGTCTATAGTATCAAGCTTTTATTGTATCATCAAATTGTAATTTACTTTGCATTTCTCAAGAGTTAATAATAATAATAATGTGATATATTCTCTGTTATCTGGTTTTAAGTGTTAATATGCATTAATATTAAAATCTTCAGTTATTAATTTGTTATATAATAAAAATATACCATATTTCATTTACCAATTTAATATAATTCCTGTATTAAGAATATGCACCATTGTTGTTTTTAATTTACAGTTGTTTTGTTTCAGTCAAGGGTTGTAAATCAGGCTCAGGGAGAAAGGAATTTTCATATTTTTTATCAAATACTCAGTGGTGCTGATGTTCATCTTCTTAGTAAGTATTATTTAACCTTTCTTTCATTATGAAAGTTAATTAGAAGATTAAGTTGTGGACATATAAGCTAATTCCACAATATGACTAATCTCACATTACCTTTCTGCTTGAAATGTAGTTCATAAAAAACAAAATTACCAAAATGATTAAGTATTTTTAGAACAAATCATTTGTTTGAATGGGAGTTTGGCAAGATCATTTTCGAGTAATAATCTCTGAGAATGGACAAAAAGTCCAAAAGTGCTTAATTGGTTTTGGTAATTTTGTTTTTTGAACTTCCAGAAAAGTAATTTGAAGTTAATTTGTGGATTCTAAAATTTAAAATGTTGTTGTAAATTAATGTTAATCATCAGGATCTAAATATTTATATTTAATTTTTATAATTCAATTATTATCATCAAAAACAATACATTTAAATATGTGAATTTATAAACAAATAAAGGTAATTATTTTGTTTGACAAAATTATTATATACAGTTGTCCCTTGATAATCCGACAGGTATGGGACCAAAGGTGTGTCAGATTACCAAAAGTGTCCGGATTACCGAAAATAATTACATATTTCACATTGTTTTGCTAGCAGTAACTTAAATATTCTCTACTCCAACTGTTCGAACAGAACTGCTCACATAAAACACACGAAATGTGTGTCATCGAGTAAGAATTGGATGGGGAGATTCACATCGCGACATGCTTCTGTGCAAGCAGACACGTAACGGGGACGGGTACCTTGACGGGAGGTGCGTCGGACTACTGAGCATGTCGGATTAAAAAACGTCAGACTATAGAGGGACAACTGTATTGTCGTTAACATGTTTTTACAAAATGCATTGTATTTTTGATATTAAACAGGTGATAATGATGATATATGACTGAATAATGTTATCTTTATATATTTAAATACAAGAAAAGAAACTCCTTATTTAAGATGACCAAAATGTTATTGGAAATGTTTCAGATTTATGATTCAGTTGCATCAGCCAACTATACATGGATAAAATAAAGAGCATTGAATTTGAATAAAACATTTTGTAAAATGGAAAAATTACTATGAAGATACAACTTTACATCTACGTTTATAATTTCTAATGTCTATAAATGTGTTAATAAACTATTATTATTATTATTATTATTAATTGTTTTGAATAGTGACTTGTGGCTATCTAATGTGGGAGGTAATGTGAGTAGCTACTACTACTTTACATGAGAAAATATATATATATATATATAATATTGCATTCATAAAATATATTTTGAACTTAATTAAAATAAATTAATTCAAGATTCAAGAGTTTTGTCTTTTTTATATTAATGTTAATATGTCATGGCATTCTCTGTGCCACTGCTCTGATACAGAAACTAATTCATGCCATTTAGCCAAACTGTTTGCCACAGCCACATCATCACAAGCAGGTGTGCAGGGTGTGCACCCCACACAGGTGCTATCATCAATGAGGCATTAAAACACATTCCTAATTAAGTGTTTGATTTGAATTATGGAATGACAAAAAACAGAACAAACACTACATTGAAAAAATAAAGTTATGAGTCTACATGTCTAAATGTTAATATTTGCATTAAGAGTTTTTAGTTCTTGTCATTTTGAACACCATATAGTGTAAATACATGAACACTAGGCAACGACGAATCCATACCACAAGAAAGATGAATCCATACTACTTTACAGAAAGTAGATGGAATGTAAAAAGTACCTTTTGAATGAGCGGCATGAAAAACCAAAGATTTTCTTCATGTAAAAGGCACAAAAAAACTACAAAAAAATGTGAAGGTACATTTCATATATCTATAAACAATTTTTTGATTAACGCAGAAACTAATAATTACTCTATTAAATAACCAGAAAAAGATTAAAATTGATAAGTCCTTCGAAAAAAGTAATCTTAAGGTGTGTTCTGTAATGATTGGGAAAAATTTTTATGTAAAAATTTCATTTATATGGAAAAAAGTTGCTAATCAAAATACGAACCAACAATCTCTCAGATATGAGCAAGGCACACTATCTCCAAACATGTGGAATTAAACGAAATGTTCAGCAAAGCTTGCTCTTAAGTCACTCAGGAAAAACTATATGGAAAGGAATGAATGGAAGCTAACAGGACACAGAGAATAGGAATGTTTAAGAAAAAATATGAGTGAAAACTGCAATTGAGGATGAAAGTTTGAGCAATCTGAAGGAGACTCATTAAGAATACCAATCCCATGTAAAAAATGGAATAAGATAAACAAAGAAAAAGTATTTGAGTAAAATAATATTTTTTCTTTCAAAAATCCAATTATTTTGTATCAATTTAATTATAAAAAAAAATAATAGATCACTAAATGAGGAAGTAAATTAATTATATGAATTTATAATAAATCCCTTAAATCAACAATGATGCTTACCATTGATTCTGTTTTTTCTTCTTCACCTGTAATTAAAAGAAAAACTTCATTTCCTTCTTTTTTTAACCATCTTTCTATATTTCTTAATTTAACATTTAAATCATGATCTAAAATTTTATNAAAAAGTAATCTTAAGGTGCATTCTGTAATGATTGGGAAAAATTTTTATGTAAAAATTTCATTTATATATGTAGAGAAAGTTTTTATATATGTATATTTATATTGTAATTCGTATGTATTATATAATTTTAGTTGGCTGAGGAGGGGCCTACATGGGCCTGAAACGTGTACAAAAAACAGGTACATATCAACTAAAAATTGAATAAAATTAAAATGAAGATTGCCTAGTGTTCATGTATTTACACTATATGGTGTTCAAAATGACAAAAGTAATCACTGACACAGTTTCAAGAATGTAAAAAAAATTTTTTAGTTTTATTTTTCACCAAAAAACAATCATGCCACAATTACAATTGTAAATTTCAACCTGTTTGTATTTGCTTTAGTTATTTGTCGAAACCGTGTCTTCTTTTTCTTGTTTCTTCTAATTCTATGTCACGACTTGGACCCGAATAAGACCCGTCGTCGACTTCAAAAACTCAACCCTATATAATTTAGAAAAATACTTAAAACGTGAATTACAAAAGTACAGTAATTTGGAATACTCCATCAAGAACGCAGACGAACTTATACATGACATGAAAAATATAAAAATGAGCAAAAATTACAGACTTGCAAGCCTAGATATAAAAAACATGTACCCTTCGATAACCTGGAATCTAATAGAAAGTACACTAAAAAAGATTGAAGCAAAGGAAGAAGTAATGGATCTAATAGAATTCGTATACAGGAGCAACTATTTCGAAGTCAACAATAAGTTCTACACGCAACAGACAGGCATAAGCATGGGATCAGTTATAGGCCCGAAGCTAGCAGAACTTGTCATGGTAGATATAGACCAAGCAATCAAAAAGTTTACAGGCATAAAGTTCTATAAACGATACGTGGATGACATAATTATACTATACGACCAAGAATTAACAAAATTAGAAGAAATAGAAGAAAAAATAAACAAATTAAACGATAACATCAAATTCAAGGTAGAAAATGAGGCAAACACAGAAATAAATTACCTCGACATAAAAATAATCAGGAAAGAAAACAGGATCGAATTCGAGCCATACACAAAACCATGCGAGATCAGGAAAGTGCTAAACTACAACTCAAACATCCCGCAGTACATAAAAGAAAACATATTCATCATGGAATATAAAAAGATCGAGAACAGAACAAGCTCACTACCGACGAAGGAAAAACACCTCAACGAACTGCGAACAAAATTCCTATTAAACGGCTATCCGAAACGAATGCTAAACAACTGGGAAAGGAAAATGAACAACAAAAGGCTGGAAAATAAACAAAACAAAAGAAACACAGTAAGATACATACCCTTCCCTTACATCCATGGCTTCTTTGAACAAGTAAACAAAAGTTTTGATAAAATAAATATAAAGCTAGCCCCAACCTATAACAACTTACAAAAAAGAATCCGGAAAACTGTACCTAACAGAAATAAACAAAAAAACAAATACAGCACTACCGAAGTCGTCTATAAAATACCTTGCACATGCAAACCCCCAAAAGTATACATCGGTGAAACAAAAAGAAAATTAGAAACAAGATTAAAAGAACACATCGCAGACCTGAAATATAACAGAATCAACTCAGTTTTTTACGAACACTGCACGACCCACAACTGCAAAATAGATAAGAATCATGCAACAATAGTACACAAAGAAAAAAACTGGTACAAAAGAAGATTCAAAGAAAGCTACGAAATTACTATAGACAAAAATAATATTAACAAGAACCTAAGCATCGACATCCATAAAAACTGGCTTCAATTATTAAAATAAAATAGAATGTTTATACAGTCGCAGGCGAGACTGTGTGCAACACTCGGCGAAGGGTAACGTTACAAATTACGAGGCATGCGGGGGAGGCCGTCAAGTCGGGAAAAGAGGGGAGGGGAAGGGAGCGGGAAGTACGGACACACAAGTCACAACTATCGACGTAACAGACTGAAGAGGGGCGAAGGCCCGAAACGCGTTTCTGTATGAATTAAAAGTAGGTGATGGAATTATTTGCCAAGTGTCGATAAATGCACCAAGTCGTGACATAGAATTAGAAGAAACTGTTTGTATTTATTATCTAATTTGTGCATAGTGGGATAGACTGGAAAAAATCAATGACCATGTTTCTCCCAGAAGTACTATTCTTTAAAAATCTTTAAGCCCAAAGCAAACTAGTCACTGCTTTCACTTTTGATGTGATGTCACAGGCAATTTTGATGGTCACACGATTGTTTTCCTTTGATGATCTGGTAGCATTGCCAGATCATCAAAAGGTCATCATAAAGGGCAGCCCCTTATGATATCACTTGTGACATAGTTCTAAAGAATCAATGAACATTTAATCTACCATTCTATGAACTATTGCTTGGTAGTTTGTTTACAAAATGATGAAAATCAGCAATAAGGTGCCATCCATAAATTATATAAGTACAGGTAAGCTTCCTACAACGCGGTAGATACATTCCTTGAAAATACCGCGTTGTGGGAAATCGCGTTATAGGAGACACCAACTCAATACAAAAACTGGGATTCAGTTCTAAAAAGAGAAAAACTTGGCGTTTGAATGGCGTTTTTTGGATTTTTCAAACTGGCCATTGTTAGCCACGAATTTAACATTGGTTTCATCAGCTGACCAGTGACGTAGCGTAGTGGGGGTGGCAGAGGCAGCCCACTTCGGGCGACACTTTTATGGGGCGGCAAAATTTCACAATAAATAATAATAATAATATCTTGTAAAAATTTGAACCATTTCATTTCATATTTTTGTCACATCTACGATTTGGATCGATTGAAATGAGCACGGAATTGTTTATTACTTATTCTGTGACGAAACTGAATTTTAGTCTTTTAAATTGAGATACCTAAATAAGGGGGCAGCAAAATTTTCCTCTGCCCCAGGTGGCTGACACCCACGCTACGCCACTGCAGCTGACAACTGTCCCATTTGTTTTAAATAATGAAATATTTTTAAGGCTTTGTGTTTAAGTGCAGTTTTATTTAAAGGCAACCATTTCTTGTTCATATCTTCTACACATAATATTAGCGCTTGTTCCATTTTTTACATTATAGGTGCTCTCGGACTAGCAACATTTTTCGCAAGAATAGATGATCCGGATGTGACCAAATTTCTAATCTTTTCTCCGGATTGCTTAATCGACCGAATAGTCAACTCATTTAAATTAAAATGACTACTAATATCAGCTATCCGCTCTTGATTTTTAATTTGATCTAAAATTTCTATCTTTGAAGAGTTATAAATTTCCATTTTAACGATGGTTCTTTCTTTTCATTCGGCATTGTTATGGCTAAAATTTTTTCAATCAGTTTTGTGGACAGTAAAAATCGCAAAAAATAACTTTTCTTCACTATGTTGTTAAAAATATACACCCAATAGAAGTTTATACTGTATTTTGGACCATTTTTGCTGTCCCCACTTATTGAAACAGTATAAATGATGGAAAATTTAGTGATATATTTGAGTGTTTATGGTAACTGATGCACATCTGTCTAGAAACTGGTCTTCCCCTGAAACTTTCAAGGGAATAAATAACATGCCAACAGCAACAAACAGCTGTTTTCAAGGACATTTAGTTCTGTATGCCGAACTGCGGTTCGTATAACGTGATCCGTTGCGCTTTTTCTATTATGTGAAAGACAATTCGTTTCTAAATACCATAAACCGTGTTGTAAAAGTACTGCGTTGTAAGAAAATTTCCGCATTTTTCCAACCACATTGGAGCAAAAACGCATTGTAAAGGTACCGTGTTGTAGGAGGCCTACCTGTACGTGATTTCGTCCATTCTAGATCCCTACTCACCGCTGTGTAAGAAACTGTAATATTTTCTTTGGTCCCTGCTCCCCTTCCCTATCTTACATAATATTTTGGCATGATTTTATAGAAAGATTTTAACCAAAAAAAATTTTTTATGAAACCCTAAAAACCTTAGATCCAAAATATATAATTATTAATTAGTTAATTAATATGTACTATTGTTTATAAAAGACTTTGTGAACAAATTTTAAAATATAAAAATTTAATGAATTTGAATGAACAATTTATTTTAAGAACTATATTNAACTTTTCTTCACTATGTTGTTAAAAATATACACCCAATAGAAGTTTATACTGTATTTTGGACCATTTTTGCTGTCCCCACTTATTGAAACAGTATAAATGATGGAAAATTTTGTGATATATTTGAGTGTTTATGGTAACTGATGCACATCTGTCTAGAAACTGGTCTTCCCCTGAAACTTTCAAGGGAATAAATAACATGCCAACAGCAACAAACAGCTGTTTTCAAGGACATTTAGTTCTGTATGCCGAACTGCGGTTCGTATAACGTGATCCGTTGCGCTTTTTCTATTATGTGAAAGACAATTCGTTTCTAAATACCATAAACCGTGTTGTAAAAGTACTGCGTTGTAAGAAAATTTCCGCATTTTTCCAACCACATTGGAGCAAAAACGCATTGTAAAGGTACCGTGTTGTAGGAGGCCTACCTGTACGTGATTTCGTCCATTCTAGATCCCTACTCACCGCTGTGTAAGAAACTGTAATATTTTCTTTGGTCCCTGCTCCCCTTCCCTATCTTACATAATATTTTGGCATGATTTTATAGAAAGATTTTAACCAAAAAAAATTTTTTATGAAACCCTAAAAACCTTAGATCCAAAATATATAATTATTAATTAGTTAATTAATATGTACTATTGTTTATAAAAGACTTTGTGAACAAATTTTAAAATATAAAAATTTAATGAATTTGAATGAACAATTTATTTTAAGAACTATAGTTTTTAATTATTAACAATCTTTTATTATTATTATAATCGTTAATCAACGTCATAATATTTATTTTTATATTAATTTTAATTTTCACAAAAGACGCAAAAAAACTTTGCCAGATCAACTAGCTAGTGCACGTGTAAACAGAAATGTCATACAAAATAAAACAAGAGAGAATAGAGAGAAATCACATTCCATTGCCATATTGATTACATCTTGGTTAAGGCCAAGAAAATAAACTACATGCTGCTAAAATGTGCTAGGTGCACCTGGGGACTAAATAATAAAGCTTATAAAACTCTATATAATGGGGCAATACAACCAATGCTACTTTACGTGGCCTCTGGCTGTGGTCATATAACTAGTAAAAATTCAGTAGCAAGTAAATTACTCTCTGTTCAAAGCCAGTTTGCCATCAGAATTTCAAAGTGCTGCAGAACTTCTTCCTTTGCTACTATGTATTGTAGAAAAGGTTTTAAATTACTATATCAGAACTACAAAGATCAAGGCTCAACAACGGTCTCTACTCCTAGCTATGGCTGTTTACATGCTACCACATTGCAATTACCCTACTATCTCTAATCATCATCCTGTAAACAAGGTTATTTGGTGTCATCTGCTTCCTCCATGGATAATCATGCAGACATTAATATCTACACAGATGGGTCCAAAAGCTCCCTTGTTGTCGGCTCAAGTATCTGTATCTTACTCCGAACTGACATATTTTGCCAAAAATATGTTAGAAGGTACAGATACCTTCCGCATACCTCCATCTATCAAGCTGAAGAAGATGCTGACTACCAAGCTGTTCAGGGGCCACTTCACTACCAAACAAAACTCTGTCTATCAACATTTACAGTGATTCTCAGTCTGTCCTAAAAGCTCTATTAAATCCCAATTGCAATAGCAATAAAATCACATATATTTAGCACCATATTAAAAATCTTGTAAATAAAATAAGATAACTTTTATATTTGTTCCTGGCCATACTGGCATATTGGGAAATGAAAAAGCCAACTTTGAGACTAAGTCAGCTGCAAAGATCACTGATTTAGACTATACTCACATCCCTCTCTCATGTAACAGCCTTAAAAATTATATTTATGACAACGCTATGCAAAAGTGGAATCAGTAAATGTAGTTGAGCAGTAAAACTGGTAGAATAACAAGACTTTATTTTCTTAGTGTTGAATGTAGGTTCTCATCACTACTTAGAGATTTAACATTTGCTACTGCTCAACTACTTACTGAACATGGTAATTTTAGAAGCTACCTGGTGATGTATAACTGGGCAGAAGCTGCTTCTTGCTTTTGCTCTACAGAAAACCTAGACACCGTCAACCATATGATCTATCATTGTCCAGTTTACAATCAAGATAGACATATTCTGAAATTAGAAATTTTTATGCTTTGTTTCAGGTGGCCATGTCCACTTGATAAGCTTGTTCAGAAGCTACCGTTTCATGCTTTTTACAATTATGTTCAAAAAATATGGAAGAAAAGACTATAATTTCTAATTTCACATTTTAGTTTTCACTAAAAGCTGAATACTAATTTTATGTTTACTTTGTATCGTGTATTTTGGTTTATGTATTCTTAGTGTTATACACCCATAGGAGTGTTGCACTTATTCTAATAAAAAACAAGAGAGAGAAACCACCATATGGCCTTTCTCCCATGACAAAAAATGTGTAGTGTGAATCTGCTAGTGTTATTACTCTATCATGTCACACGAGACAACAAGCATTCTTAATAGAAACCACCAAATTTAAGCCAAATTCAAAATGCCACCATTTGATGAGATCAAAAAATAAGAATATTATGTGAGATGATATTTATTACCCCCCTGAGTAAGAAATCATAAGAAATCCTTGACCCCCACCCACCCCAAAATACCTTACATAATTTATGGACGGTCCCTAATGATTGTGTTGCTTATAGCTTTGTGTACAACCTTTTGTGTGTTTTTTTATTCACAATGAATTAAATAATAAGTGATGTATAAAATATTTATAGTGACATTTATATATATATCATATAATCATATAATATAATACAGAATATATTATATAATATACTGTATGTATATATAATATGTAATATAAATAGTATTATATAAGTAGCATAAATATTTCACTGTGTATGAGTGTCTCTGATCACTCAAAAAATCCAACTTCTTGCATCAGAGAGTCACAAAGGAACCACTTGCTTTCTATATAATGTAGAGTGACATTGAATCAATGATCAGGCAATTGATAGTTACTCCTATGATGATTGAATAAAATAAAATAACTTATTGGATTATAAATACTTAAAATAATCAAAACACCTTAGTAATTCCTGCAACGAAGTATTTAATAAAATAAAAACATTTTTGACTATATTTAATAGTCTTCTTCAGTTAAGCCTCTTTAAAACGTAAACGAACGTAAAATAGAACGCAAGCAATACAACAGTTTAAAAATTAAAATTAATTACGAAAAACATTATAAATAAAACATTAAGAAATTAATTGTGGTAAACAAAAAAATAATACAATAATAATAATAATAATAATAATAACTCTCCCGTGGTCACCACCTGGTCGTGGTGGGAGAGCCCAGTAGTTTTTCAGATCCATAGGGCAATGCAGGCTGGAGCACAAGCTCCTGGTAGGGACACCCATGCCAGTAAGGTCTATGGGGAGAAATGAAGCTAAGAGTGACCACACACCCACATTCTGTGGAGATAATCATTATGGTAGTAACCAGATC